TTAACAGTCACTAACTGTTAACTACTTTTTAAACAATCACAATGTTTGAAATTGTGACTGTTTAAGGTGCCTTCTCTAAACCAGCACCTACCTTTTCTTCATACATCTTCTCAATTATTTAAGGAGCATGAATCAGACTCCAAATCATACAATTTCGAAATTCACTCTCTCTCTCTCAGTTCGGTTTGCTACAGTCTCACAGAAGATTTCTCTGGAGACTCTTCAACTTTGCTGGTTGTAGATTCTCGCCCAAGGCTCTGTTGTATCCTGGGAACGAATTTGCCTGTAACCCAACAGCAAACTCAATAAACTGAGTGGGGGCAAATAACGGTCTAAAGACAGTGTCTTCAGACGCGCCTCAGAGTTTCTCCTCCAAAGTTATAATGACCCCATCTTCTCCAACAATATGTTCCTCCACACTCAATCCATAGGGAAAGTTTCTGGCCAAGCCAATCTATATGTCCAAAGTAAGCCCTTTTTGCCCATTTTTTTGATAAAAGAAAGGTGGAACATTGTACAATTAGTACCACTTGCATGATAAAGATCAAATACAGATATTGGTTTGGACTGAAGAGGTAAACAAATGCAAAATTTAATGGAATGGACGCTTCTACATTTTCACTTACAAAAAAGGAATGTGAAACAAAGGCTATGTTTGGTTTAAAGGAAAAGGTAGGGAAAGGAAAGGAAAAGTAAGAAAATCTATTCAAGGTTTGTAAATGTTTTCCTATCTTTTCCTTTCTTTTCCTACATTTTCCTTCAAACCAAACACAGCAAAAATGTTTTACAAAAGTTTCTTCCAACTGAAAACCAGTATTACTTTATTAATTGTTATTATTGTTTAAAACTTAAAAAAATAAATAAATAGTTTATTGTTTTATTTTTATATTTATTTTATTTAATGAATCATTTATCTATCCGAGTTTTGGACAGTATACAATTCTAAAAGACAAAGCTTCAATCTTAATAGCGAATATAGTCATTCTTTTTTTTTAGCAATTTGTATATGATGTTAGAAAGTTATGATACCCGAAGATCTTTGGCCAAACAGAACTCTATGTGATTTTTTTATGAATATTGTCTAATTGGTAATTTTTATGCCAATGATTCACTAATTGAGGTTATCATTCCACATCCCTCCAAATAGGGAGGTATGTTATTAAACCTGCATATCTGGAGGCTCTTTGTGATAGGGTCATTAGACTTCAAATGCACCCCTTAATCCCCTTTGAAGTGTAACATATTTTGGTAGAAACTGTAATGTGTAATATATAATACTACAAAAATAACCACCTTTATGATACTAATTAATTATTTATCTAAATCCATTCGATTTACGGTTAAAATTGGAATTGAAATTAAAATCAAAATCCCTTGGAATTGGAATGGCATATTTCTCCGCTTCTTTGATTCATACATGAATCAAACTCAAAATTTAAGAGATCTCATTTATTGCGAAACCGGTGGTTACCTCACCAAAGTTTGTAGGGTTCAATTGTTGGAGGAGGTGTTGAAGTGCTTTTGAACTGCCATCGATCCAAACAAATGGATCATTTGGCCCAAGAATCATTCAGGCAACTAGTTTCATTTCACTCTTAACTTGGTCCTTGATTGAAAAACTATTGGTTTGGTTAGCGACCTGTTATCCTGGGCAATTGAACCATCAATCTATTCAACCCATTTATGAATTTTGGCCATTTTTATTTTAATTATTTATTAAAATTTTAAGTTGAAATGAGTTGTCTGTTCAAACTGAACAATCGAATCATTGACCTAAAAAACTGGTGGTCAAAATGGTTCGGATTCCAGATAAATTTTTAAAACCTTGGGGTGATGGAAGAGAAGGAGGCTTTTTTTGGTAAATTAGAATGGGTTCTCATTGTCAGGGAGGGGACTGGCATGGCCATCACTGTTTTCAAAACCGGACCGGACCGATCGGTTGGATCGGAAAAACTGGGAACCGATCACCTGACCGGTTTTGTTTTCCTCCAAAACCGTTGATTTTGGTCAGCAAACCGCTGAACCGATCGGTTAACCGTTCAAACTGTTCGAACCGTTTTGATCGTTTTCTAATTTTTTTATTTTTTTTGTCAGAACGAACCGATCATTCAGGCCGAATGGTCAGACTGTTCAAATCGGTTCGTTTTTAAAAACCATCATGGCCATTCCCTTAAATGGGGGATTGCCATGTATATGAATTGATTTCTCTTTATGCCCAACCAAATAGTATGGGACATTCCATTTTCTTTTCAAACCCCATTTTCTCAAACCAAACATATCTTGTTTTTTAGGGATAATGTCTTTTTTTTTAAAAAAAAATCACAACTACTAAAATATTGAACAGATCGGACGTGTATTAGGCTTTGTACCTTTTTTTATTGGTTGAATATTAGGCTTTGTACTTATTGGACAATGGGAATGACTTCAGAAAATATAGAAAATTAGTAGAGTTCTCCTTACAATCTTTTATTTTATTTGGCATAGGAAATTGAAATCACACATTTCTGTGATTTCCTAAACAAAATTACCAATTCACAGGGTCACTAATCCAATAGACAGTGTACACTTTCCACGTCATATATCCACGTGGCAAAAATAAGTGGGTTGTCGAAGAACCATAATTGATCCCCATTTAAACTACCTTTCTACATTAATTATGAAGTGATTTGAGTAACAATCAACAATCCGGACTGTAATCTCCTTTTTTCCGGATCCTAGGTCATCGGAATGCGGGTCGTTTCAAATTTTAATCCGGAAAGGTGCAGGCTTAAGGACTATAGTACTAGTATGGTCCTGAAGACCACCCAATCTCATAATTATTTCACAGGCATAGCCGTAATAAAAACTCAAAATGATGGTAGTTTAGTAAACGCAAGATCCACCTAAATGATCGTAGCGGAGTCACTGACTCCTCCTCTTTTTCTTTTTATTAATATAATAATTAATTTATTTTTGTTTTTTCCGCCATTTTTTTTGCTTTGTTGGGAAAAGAAGGAAAAGAAACAGAGAGAAGAGGACTGGTGAAAATCCTCGTGAAGTGCAAATTTTCACCGCTTTCGCTTTTCCTCTCTTCCTTCTTCCTCCTCTGTTCTCGCTTTAAACTTCTTCTCGTGCCCTAATCCTGTTCTGTCTCCTCCAACTTTGAAGCTGAATCCTCATCATAATCACTCATTCACTCTCTCGTCACCATCTCTCCTGAAAATCAGAGATTCGAGCCCTACTTCTCCGTACCTCTCCAAAAACTTGAGATTTTTTCGCGTTTTTGTACATTTTTTCTCCTTACATTTGCTCATTAACTTAGCAGATCATCGACTCGGATCCTGTAGCTGGCGGTTCTGAATTCGTTACAGGTAGAAGTAGAATCCTTCTTATTCTTTTCTGATTAATACATATTTTTTGTTTTACTGATCTACTGTTGAGTGTTTCCCGTCTGAACTCATTTGGTGTAGCTTTAATTTTTTCTATGTATTGATTGAGTCTTTTTTCTTTTATTTATTTTCATTTTGATATTTACTGAACATATTTGTTCCTCGTTTTGTTATTCTTTCTTTTATGAATTTTGTTTCGAGCTCTATCAGTTCGATTCTTATTCATGTGGTGTGAGTTAGTGCGAGGCTGCTGTCGTTGCTGACGTTCCTTTTTGTTGTGTTTGAAATCGTACTTTTTTTTTTTTTGTGAACTTTCAATCTTTTCGCCTGAGCTGGTCTGAGGAATTTGCAAGCACTTGATGACTTGCTTTATGCATCGGTGTTCAAGTTCAAGTCCTGATAAAATTCTTCGTGGTTTAAGTACACGGATATGATGTTAACGGAGTAAAGATTGTGCTGTTTGCCTAGTGATCCACATTTTTTCCTATAAAGCAATTAGGAAATGTTTTTTCTTTTTTCTTTTTAATTGGGGAATGATTTTACTATATTATTCTCTACAAACTAGTGTCTAGCCTGTCGCCTGATTGGATCCTTTGTTTGAGTTGGCTTGGCATTGGAGCCTTACCGAGTGCTTGATTGTTGTAAGAATCTTGCTCTTGTACGTAAATCTCAAATTATTGTTTAGTGTTTATTTTGTTTTCAAGCAAATGGATAACTTATACTGTTTAATAGAGATTAGATTTCAGGTTCTTTTTATCTGAATCACGTTGATGATGACAGGACTTGGATGGTATATGCTGAAGTGAGTGAAAGCGGTTGGACAGGGTTTTTGTGTACTGGATTCATTATGATAGAGAAACCAAATATAGTAGTTTTTTATTTTCTAATATCTGTGCTCCTTTATCTCTGAAGAGTTCATTAGAAATGGGCTAATATGAACTTGCGAAGCCTTATTCCACCTTTTGAATTGTTCCTTTATTTGATTGAATTCAATGGAGAATAGGTATCCCCAGATGATAGGTCCGTCTCCTGGTACATGTGAAATTGTTGAATTTAAGGAAGAATCAGATTCAGTTCAGTGTTATCGAGGAGCTAACCCATCAAGCTCAGGTTTTAAAGCTGATGGCATAGATGGAAAGAATCTCATGATTAAGTCCAGGCGCAATTATTTTCTGGAGGATGATCTTAATCGACTTTTTGAGGCAATTGACCTCAAAGCCTCAACAAGGGGTTTGGGTTTATCACTCCAGAAAGGTACAGGCCCTTCACAGAGGAATGCCTTAAAAAAGCCCATTAGAGTTGGGTTATCTCAGGCATCAGGAATTGGAATTTCAGAGCCTGTGTCTCTAAAACAAGCATTAAGGGGTTTATGCCTTTCCCAGAAAGCGGAATTAGCTGCTATGAAGCGGTTATCAAAACCAGCATCTGTGGTTTCAGAAGCTGGAACGATCAAGAGGTTGTACAGAGCAGTTGTGGTTGAGGCAAGTGAATCTGGTCTTTCCTTAAATGAAGGCAAGGGGAGTTTGCTAGAAATCTCCCTTGTGCCAGAGAAAAGCACACCAAATTCATCCGAGAAAGTATCTGAATCTGAGCAAACACTAGGGACAAAAGCATCGAACAAAAATGTTCATACTTCACCTCAATTTGCAGTTGCAACCACAGCAGAAGTAACACTGGTACAAACATCTCAAGATGAGATTGTTCCTGAATCAACAGAGGTCAGGGGTAAAACTTCAAAGGGAGAGCTGGATCGGAAGGGAAAGTTGAAATGTGCACCTCCAACATCTAGCTCTAATACTGGTAATAAAATTTCAGAAATAGAGGAAATTGTTCCTGTCTCCAAAGAGGTTGGCAGAAAAATTTCAAAGCCACAGCTGGGCCAGAAGGACAAGCGGAAAACAGAACCTTCTCCATCTAGCTCTAGTACTGGCAGTAAAATAAGCAACTCCACTAGCACCAGTCCATGCTTAGTCATCAAGCCAATCTTAAGAAACAAGAAATTTGTTAAGAAGAAAGGGGATCAAGTTACAACTTCTGCCTCTAGTAGTTCTAATACATGCAATGAAGTTGACAGTGATTTGGGTCCCAGTACAAGTAAATTGGTTTGCAGGACTCACAACTGTTCCTGGAATAATGTAAGCAAAGAATCTGCTTCTCCAGCATGCAGCAGTACTGGTCGCAGCACTGAGGTCAATTCGAGTAAAGTAGATTTCAGTGCAACTAAACCAGATTTCAATTCAAATACGTGTAACAGAAACAGAACAGTTTGTCCGAAGGGCAATGAGAGCTCAAGATCAAAAGGGAAGGGGGAGTTCTCACAAAGCTCAAAAAGTAGCATTGGTGAGTACAGCAGTAGCACCAGCATCAGTGAGGAGAGCAATTTGAGTGCCTCTAGTTCCGGAGGCAACAGGCCTCATATGTCAAAGGACCTTAGATGGGAAGCCATCCGTCATGTTCAGATGCGGTATGGAGGCTTAGGGTTAAGGCACTTCAAGCTGCACAAAAGGCTTGGTTGTGGGGACATAGGGACAGTTTATCTTGCTCAGCTAACTGGTACAAATTGCCTATTTGCTTTGAAGGTCATGGATAATGAATTTCTGGAAAGCAGGAAAAAGATGCCAAGGGCTCAAACTGAAAGGGAAATATTGCAAATGTTGGACCATCCTTTTCTCCCTACCTTATATTCCCATTTTACAACAGATAAACTCTCATGCTTGGTAATGGAGTATTGTCCAGGTGGGGATCTTCACGTTCTTCGTCAGAGGCAACCAAGCAGGAGTTTCTCTGAATCAGCAGCCAGGTAGATAACCAAAAGTGAACTTTTACATTTGGCACTTTTTTTCTAATTTGCTTTCATTCCCTAATAAAGGTCATATGTTGTATCCACATGAAATGATGCATATAAATGAACAACATGCTCTAGTTATCAAGTATACCATACCAAATACTCAAAATTTGGGAATTCTTTATATTGTTAGAGGCTTCAAATATTAAAGCTATAGCTATAATTTCAGAACTTCAATCCTCCCATAGTCCTTCCCCTTCTGGAGCAGCGTATTTTCCTTAGATTGAAGGGTTAGCTGAGCTGCAGTTTCATGGAAGCTCCACTGGCAACTAAAGACAGGATGGGATAGGTGCGGTCTTCCTCAGTTTAGATGGCAGCACCTCGCAGGCTTTCTCTAACCTTATCGTTGTTGAAAATTCGACCGAATTTAATGTGGTTGTACTCCTCATTGGCATTAGGGTTGTGATTATGTGAAATTATTTTCATTAAGTAAAACAAGAGGGGGGGGGGTTACAAACATATGATGTAGGTAGGGGATGGACACACACAGAAAAGGGCCTATTACAAGCTTTACAAACATATGGCTATGAAGATTTTCTATTATAGGCTCTAATTAACTTTCTGACCTGGCAAAGCCGTTCTCAGTTTAACTCAATAGAAGAGAAATGATCTTCGGGATAATGATCTTTTTCTCGAATTCCTTGTTTGTCTTTTGTAGCCTTGTATGTTACTGATGAGGAAATCTCTCCCTCAGCTTTTCTTTTTATTGATGAAATTAGTTTATCACCATTCAATAAATAAATAAAGATCTCATTCAGCAAGGAATGAAGTTTTTTTTTTTTTTGGGGGGGGGGGTTGGCAGTTGAAGGTGATTCTGCCAATGTTATTAGATGGATGGAGGAGCAATAGGATTTGTCAAAGTTCAAGGAGATTGGTTTATTATCTTTGTGAATTAGATGGATTACTAGGAGTTGGATTCAGACACCAAAGGACCAAGAGGATCTGGAGAAGGTCAGGCTTTTATAAATGACTGCAGATATATGCCTATAGTGTTTTTCCCTTTTATTTTGGGGGTAAATTACAGGGACCTCCCTGTACTTTTTTTTTTTTTGGGGGGGGGTGTGACATTTAGCCCCTGGTATTTATTTTCATATAATGTCAAACCCCCCCACACCCCACCCCACACATGTGTGGATCCATACCACCGGCATACTTCTTTGGGTCTTGGCCTTTAATGATTATATTACCTTTCAAAAAAAAAAAGGAAGGTTGGGTCCTCTTCCCTATTACTCTATTAGGTAGGACTGCACACAAGTAACTAGGGACCTAGACTTTATGAAATGATTCATAAAGAATAAAGGTATATGATGTCGATTGCATTAATGCAGCTACAATGTTTTGTGTTAGTTCCATCTCCACGCACAAAGGGACCAAATTCGCCTTTAAATCATGGCTTGATGATCATGAAATTGCTGTCACCTGTATCAGTGGCCAAGCCGAATACAATTTTCAACAGATTGGGCCGGATTGATGGGTTTCTGACCTGGATTTTGGATAGCCGTTTTGAGCCTACCAACNCCCCACCCCACCCCAGATATTGCTAGAAATTACCAAACAGCAAGACGGCGGTGATGTCTGATTTTGATTAACAACAGAATATATATTCTACTATGTGAAATTCCAGAACATCACTTAGTGTTTTAGATCCATTATTCATTTGTGGATACCACTTTGACAAATTGTTGGTTTAATTTGGTACATAGCTTTGGATGGGCAAGACTAATCTATTTCTCTAGGAGACCACTATGATGGCTTTGACTTTTGGGTTGATTTGATACGTTATCAAGACAGTCTAGATTAATTGAGCTATTGGTATCACTTAGATGGTAGATATTAATCCACTAATCTCAGGAGACCATTTCAATGGCTTAGATCTTTGGATTGATTTGGTCCTTAACTGGATAGGTTAATTTAGTTGAAATCTCAGTACCAAGGTTCAAAGTATCATGCCCGATATGGGGCGTGTCGTATCTTTGAGCCCCAATACACCTGTAAACAGGTGTTTTTACAAACTCTTTTTTTATTAAATAATATATATATATATATATATATATATTTGAAACTGAAATTTGTAAAAGAAAAAAACTAAAAAAATATAAGACATGTCGGTTAAAGTACCGACACACCTCTGCCGATACACAAAGGTGTCTCGATACTTTGAACCGTGCTCAGTACATAATTTGGTTGGCTAAGATTGTTTGCAGATCTTAGGAGGTCATTTTGATGGTCCAAATATTTGGCCTATTTGTTACATCACTTTCTTTGGCTTAGATTTATGAAACTTTAGTGCTTTACTTGAATGCCTGAGATTAGTTGAAATCTTGGTATATGGCTTGGATGGCCAATATTAAATTTTTGCTCTTTGGTCAGCAGCTTTGAAATGCTTATCACAGCCCCCTACTCGAACCAACTCAAATTTAACTTCGATGGAAGAAGACTAGGAAATTCTGGAAGAGCAGGCATTGTGGAGTGATTAGGGATGGAGATGGGGTGATTACTTAGGTTTTATAGAACAAGGGGATGATGCAGTAAAGGCTGAGATGTTGGCTCCCCACTATGGTTTAAAGCTTGCTTCTTAAATAAATCCCAAAGATATCTTGGTGGAAAGAGACTCCTGCAAAGCTGTGAAATGCTTATCAAATAACAATCCAGGCCCATGGAAATATGGAAGCATTCTAAGAGATGTAAGGAAGATACTAGGGGAGATAAGAGCGCAGATTCAATGGATTCCAAGAAGAGGAAATGGCTTGGGAGACGGTTTAGCTAAACAAGGAGTAAACATGACTAATGTATTGGGGGGGGGGGAGGTAAAAATGGTAACTCAGCTGCGGATTAGCATGTACAATTAAATGGGTGTAAGGAGGCTGGTAGACAGGGGCTGCCAGGTTTTTTTGGCATTCTATTTATACAACATCTTCATCAAGGTTCAAAATTTTGACACAATACACTCCATATCAGGCATATCTCATTGTATCTTGAGCTGACCGAAACACCTTTTTTAAGGCTTTTCCAGAAACTTAGGTTTTTATACATCAACTCCCAAGGAAATTTCTTTTTTTTTTATGAATAACCCCAAGAAAATTTCAAAATAAAAAAATTAAAAAATAGTGTTTTATAGTATCAAAACACCGATATGCACATTCATGCATATTGGGTGTATTGATAACTTTGAACCTTGCTCTTTATTATATCTATAAAGTTAACAGTTATGACTATTAAAAAAAATCTTTGCTCTTAGGAGGTCACTTTGATAGCCTAGATTCTTTTTTGTTGATTTTGTACATCTTTTGGATGGCCTAGAGTAGTTAAATGTTGGTACATCATTTGGATGGTTGAGATTAATGCACTGGTCTTAAGAGACCACTTTGATGTCTCAGATCTTTGGGTTAATTCAGTACACCATTTACATTTTTTTTTCAAATTTTGGTAAGGTTCAAATTCAATGTTTGCTATACAACTTCTATTGCCTAGATTATTTGAAACCATTGCACATCATTTGGATTTTCAAGATTAGTGGACTGATCTTGAGACATGAATTCAGTATTCTATATCTTTGGTTAGAAGATGATGATAGGAAAGATCTCTTTCAATAATATTAAATGGGTACAAATAGGTAAAGAACAAAATTGTCCTCAAAAGCAAGATATGGACATTTTAGGATTTTAGAAATGTCTAAAGATGAACATGACATGCATGTGGGTTTATTTCAGTTTGTTCCCTTAACAAAATGGTGATCGAAGGGCTACTTGTCATGATATGAAAGTACAAAAGGCTAATTGCCACACAAAAAACATATGGGGGGCTAAGTGTCACACCTCCAAAGTACAGGGGAGGCCTCTGTAATTTTCATTTTGTTTTGAGCAGTAGGGTCAGGCTGACTTCTATATTTTGGCTTGTGATTTTATGTGCAAATGGGTCCAGACATCAGAAAACTCTCTAGCTGATTCTCTTGTTAGGGAAGGTTTAAATAGAGCTAAGCTGTATCAAGGGAACCCCATGAATTTTTGGGAGGACCGAGTGCCAATCACGCCCGCTTGTACTCATAACAGCAAATGAGAGGTCATCCTTATTGATCTCATTGAGGTGAAAGTTGCAAACTGGATTTCCACCAAAGATGAATTCAAAGGTGTATCGGCCGATTCGTTTTTTAGATGTTGATGATCTATTGCCCCACACAGGAGGTTTATTTTTCAAGAACGGGCTGGTCCTATCAGTGTGAGAATCTAGTTTAGTTTTGATGGGTGTGCTCTTGAAAATCCTTGATATTAGGCATAGGTAGGTTTTTTAAAGATTATGCTGGTCTTATTTATGAACTGCAGGCCCTATAGGTGAAGGAACTCTCTTAGGGTAGGTTAATGGCACTGCTGTTAGGTCTGAACTCTTAAGCCGGGTTACTCCTCACTCCTCGGCATGGAAGGTACTCATGGTCAAAGGTGACTATCTGGTGATTATTGATTGGGTTTCTTCTCCAGTGGAGGAACTGTTGAATCTCAAGTTCTTGATTAAGGAGGCCAGGGCATTAGCTTCAACCATGAATACTGCATTCAGTGTCTTGGCAGATTTTCTAGCTAAAGTAAAGATGGTTTAATAGACCTGAATTGTCACAGGAGCTCCATGCTTGGGTTTGGGTTATCAATATCATTATTCTTGTAATTTGTACTGTTATTTTTGTTGTCAGCTCATGCTGTTTGCAGTTTCTTCTGATCATCATGAATAACATCTTTTTCATTGTTCTTATGATAAAATAACCATGGGCTACAGGGATAGGGATTTTGGTATTCTGTTGTTTGGATGTCTTGTTGGAGAGAGGAGCAGGAGCTCTTGCAGACTTCCATTTCTAGAGGGAATCCTGGAAAATTACATCAAGTATGAACATTTAATTCCAATGGATGTTTACATTGCTAATGAGGAGGCAAATGACTTGTGAACAATCACAAAATCAAGATCATTAAGACGGGTTTCAAACATAAAAAAGGGCAGTCTTAATGAGGATTGTACGGCCCCTCTTTCTGCCCCTAGCCCCTCTTGTTTGGGGGCAGAAAGAGGGACTAGGGGTAGGGGCAGGGGACAAAGGCTAAGGACTCCAAATCTAGGGAAGATCAAGTTGACTGTTTACATTCATGACCATACAGCTGGCTGCAGCAATGAAGTTAAACAAGACAAATTATCAGGAAAAAAATTGTTGATTCATGGAATTATGGAAGGATTGATGAGTTGCATGAATTGGGCACTGCCACACTGTCATGGTTGGCTTCACACCACCAGAAAAAAGGGTCACACACTCACACTAACAAAATTAGAAAGTAGTGCTTTTTTTTTAATCAGCGAAAGTAGTTCTTTTCTTTAATCTTGTTTCTGAATGACTTGAAAATTCATTGATAGGAACCAAGAAAGGAAATATAAAGTCACTCAATCTCCAAAACAAGAACAATGGGGATTTCTGGAGACGTAGTCTTAATTGCTAGGCCCAAAAGATGAACCACACAAGATGCAAGATGCAGAAGTGACAGAATAAATGCCAATACATGTTTAAAGATTTATTAAGTAACCACAACAGCCATTTGTAATAAAATAAATAGCATATAGCAAGTTGTCTTGCATGTGACAGTCTAAAATTTGAAATTGTCTATAATTTTGTTTTCATTTTTGTTTTCCTCAAGTTTGGGAAATGCTTCCCTTTATTTATTTATTTATTTTAATTGGTACCTTCTATGTTCTTTTCTAAGGGTTCCAGTTGAATTATTTATTTTCACATTTCAACTGAAGCCGAAGTGGAGACCAAATCCTAGTTTCTTGCATTTCCACATTTCAGTTGAATTATTAGCTGCCAACAAAAAGTATGCCCGTGATACACTATATTGTGAGAAAGAGTGGTGTCTTTCCCCCTCCCATTTCTCTGATATGCAACACATATGGGAATTGCCAGATTCTTTCTTCATTGCAGTTTTGCTATTGAGATTTAAGGCGGTTACTCAAGATGTTTTATCATTCATAGGAGGATGTTCTTGTCAAGATCATCATGGGATTTGTTTAGGGACCTCTTTCTTTTCTTTTCTTTTCTTTTCTTTTAGGGTCCTCTTTAGAAACACTATTTCTTTAGGGTGTCCTTGCTTGTGGTCTCTTATGATTTGGACAAAAGTTCAACTTTGATAGGTGTTCAATTTGAAACCTTGGCCTATACAACACTGAAGGTGCACTTCAAGACATATCTAATAAAGAATAAAATTAGCAAGGCCCAGCTGATATGACAGCACTAATAAAAAGAAATAAAAACAGCCCATAACAGTCCACGTTTTAACAAAGCTTTTAAATCATTTAATCATTTTTATCCAGATGTTTTTTTGTGTGTGTGTGTTTGGGGGACTCTTTAGAAACACTATTCTTTGGAATGCCCTTGTTTGTGGTCTCTTCTGATTTGAACAAAAATTTAACTTTGATTATAGGTCTTCAGTTTGAAGACCTTGGCCTATATGGCGTTGAAGTGCACTTGAGACAGCTCTCTGAATAATCCTTTTGCCTTTTGGCCTCATTGGTTTTCATTTTTCAATAAGCAATTGGAGTGTGTATTATTAAGTACAAAAAAAAGAGGTAGAAGATGGCATTAAAGTCACAAAAGATCTTTATAGTGATTAGAGCTTAGGTTGGTCCTCAATACCTCATAGAAGGTCCTAGACGTCCTCTTCTCTTGATGTGAAGAGTGAGACTGATGGTGATCCATGCCTCCATGGTGTGGTGGCTTTAAAATACAGGAATAGTCCTTATAAATGTTAAAAATTATGAGATACCCCTACACCTTGGCATGTCAGTTCTCAACTTCTCATTCAGTCAATGCTTAGGCTTCCCAATGCTTTACCTAGTGAATTGGCCTAATGGTGAGCTTCTGGGCCTGATATGAGATGTGACAAATCCTACTTGTCTTGTAGCTGGCTACTTTGAGGTTTGTCACTGCCCATTTGTGTGTCCTGCTGTCTACTATCATAATTTCCTTTTCTTATATTTGAATCCTTTCACCAAAGAAATAAATTTTTGCTATAACAAATACTTTGGTTTTTAGACTCTTGATTCCTAGTCATGAGTTACTCTATTTACAATTTAAACTTGAAATGAAAATTTCCAAATCATTTCAAGGCTTAAAAAGTATATAAGCTTAGAAATATAAACACACACTAGTTGGAGAGTGAAAAATTGGTAGCTTCCAAGAGATCCAATATATCTTAAGCCTAAAAGACAAAATGAGTTGGGGATCAAGAATGTTCCTATGCCTTTGCAGTGTTACTGGGTCATTTTCACATTACAGACCTGGAAGTTCTCCATGCTCTTTTTAGTGTCTTCTCTATCAAATTCGGTGTTGGGGTGGTGGTTGCGTTGCACGTGCCAGAAAAGTTCAGCACACGATGACTATTTAACAAAAGCAATTCAAGAAAGCTCCTTGTGAGAATAGCTACCCATGACGAATTCTTTTCTGGTCTTTCAAGAAACTATATACCAAGACTGATGATTATTAATTCTCATCCTTGTTTTCTGATATTCTCTCCTTTTGGCACTAATTTCTTTCAATGATCTCTGCAGGTTCTATGTTGCAGAAGTCCTCCTTGCGTTGGAGTATCTACACATGCTTGGGGTTGTTTACCGAGATCTGAAACCAGAAAACATTCTAGTTAGAGAAGATGGTCACATCATGCTCTCAGATTTTGACTTGTCATTGAGATGCGCCGTGAATCCAACACTTCTTAGATCCTCTTCATCAATCATTGAGCCCACGAAAAGGTTTTCAGGTCCGTGTGCCGAATCCCATTGCATCGATCCTTTCTGCCTTCAGCCATCTTGGGCCCAAGTCTCATGCTTCTCACCTCGGCTTGTATCTACCACGGCAAAGAACAGGAAACTAAAATCTGATTTGGCAGCCCAGGTCAGCCCACTGCCACAGCTTGTGGCAGAGCCAACTAGTGCACGCTCCAACTCCTTTGTTGGGACCCATGAGTACTTGGCCCCTGAGATAATCAAAGGAGAGGGTCATGGAAGTGCTGTTGATTGGTGGACATTTGGAATATTTCTCTATGAACTTTTATTTGGTAAGACGCCTTTCAAGGGTCCAGGAAACGAGGAGACGTTGGCCAATGTAGTGACACAGAGCCTCAAGTTTCCCGAAGGCCCAATTGTGAGCTCTCAGGCGAGGGACCTGATAAGAGGGCTGTTAATAAAGGAGCCAGAGAATCGGTTGGGGTCGGTAAAAGGGGCAGCTGAGATTAAGCAGCACCCATTCTTCGAGGGTTTGAATTGGGCATTAATACGGTGTACCACCCCACCGGAGCTGCCAAAGTCCAGTGATCTCGGAGTTCCAGTTTTGGCCTCCCATAAGGAGAGCAAGTGTTTGGAGTTCAAGGCTTCAGGTGAGCATCTGGAGTTTGAACTGTTCTAGCATGGTCCTCTGACCTCTCTACTTTGTGAGCTGTTTGATTTGCTGGGTCTCCATAAAAGCTGCTCCTGGTTGTAATTGATAACGGAGCTTATAGTGTAAATTTAGCATATAAAGTTCGCGGGAAGCTTTGCGTCAATGCGTGTATGATAATTTGGGCCTGAAATGAAAAGGAAAAGAAAGAGCGAAGGTGAGGGAGTTCTTTTAAGCGTTCAGTTTTTCTCTTTCTTTTTTAGAGGCTATCAGGCTAAAATTCATTCATCAAACAAATAGTTACAAGCTCGCCAGCTCGCCCCAGAGAGGTAGCAATGAAAGCTTGTGGGGGGGGGGGGGTGACCAAGAAATAGCAAATCTCGTTAGCTTATTAACAGCGACATTACTCTAGTGTCGATAAATAGATCTGTCAGGTTTTCAAATGAGCTGACAGGTTGAACTTGAAATTTTAGTCTTACTGTACTAGAGTGAGCATGGGCGAGGAATTGTTTGAATCACTGGTTTACTCCCCTCTGGTTCGGCCCTAGAATCCTTATCTCATTCATAAGGACTGTTGATACTCATTTTTGTGACTACTCATCTTGGAATGGAACAGTTTCGTTTGCGCATCCAATCGTCATCAAATCGGATTACATTGGATTTGGATTGAATCTGACTTAGGATTAATTATTAGCCCTTTCCCTTCCGAGTTCAGCTTCAGTCGGGGTAAATTCTGTTCGGGCAGCCTTTACTGCCTTGCCTTGTATTGATCATACTTATTTTCTTTATATCATGTGAAGATATTCCCAATGTAAGGTTGGGAAAGGCTGTTAGAACGGTGAGGGCATAGATTTGCCCTGACTGAAGCCGGTCTCTTCCTTTTGGGTAAATGGGTCAGTGGTTCAATCGTTCAGGTCAAGCGGTCAATTTATAACACAGTAAATTTTCAAAAAACAAAAATAAAAAAAAAAACCCAAAACCCAGTAACCCACTGAATGCGTTACATTGGTTAATTATATTACTTTGCTCTGATTGTTTTTTTGTTGCTCTAAAGTAGTGTTAATTCCACAAATGGACTAAGGCCCTGTTTGGGAACACTTAAAAGAAGTACTTATTTAAACGAGTACTTCTTTTAAGACATGGGACCACACATTAAGTGGTTTTTTAAGTACTTATGGGTGTTTGGTAAAAAAGAGGGTAAGAAGTAATTATTAAAAAAAATACTTAAAAAAGTGACATGGATGTGGCTTTTTTTCCAGCACTTTTTGAAGAAGTGCTTCTTCATTGAATGGGATAAACCTGTCCCTATTTTTTCTTTAATGACAAAACTATCTTCACTCGATTTTATCATCTTCTTCTTCCATTCGGAACCCTATAACAACAGGCAGCAACGGCGTTTGATTGTAGGTCCATCGACAAATTTGGGTGTTAAAAATCGGGTTAGTATAAACCAACTTGAGCTTGCAAATTTTGGGAGAGAACTGAGATAGTGCGACTAGCCAAGAAGGCTGGGCCTGCCTGAGCTCATCAATGGTCGACCAATCCAAATTGAAAAAGGCGCGGCAACCATGAACAATTCCTCTCTGCTTACCTTACTATGATTTGCAGGTTTCTTACACCCACTTTCATATTAAAACCAAATCTGAATCCTAACAATCTTAGCCTTTCAACTTCTTCATCTGTTCCAGCAGAAAATGTTGTAAATTTGAAAATCCATAACCAAAGTTTTGAAACCTCACTGTCTTTGTTGATCCTACTGCAGAAGTTAATTGACTGGTACAAAAAGTCTCGATTATGCTTTTGAATTCTGACCTCTTCACCAGCTCCAAGTGAATAATCGTTTGTGATTTGTTTTCGTATTCTGAAAAATACGAGTGCCTAGTTCGTCAGTGTGAAGGTTCTTCTAATCTTGAAGATGCTGAGCGACTCCATTCTCAAATCATCAAGAATGGGTTTGTCGGTAATTTATTCCTATATAATACACTCATTAATCTATATGTTCGAACGAGTAATGTGGCATTGGCCCACCGGTTGTTTGGTGAAATACCGGAGAAATATGCGGTTATGTGGACTTTCTTGATATCTGACTATACCCATCAGCACATGCCTGATGAAGCATGTGCTCTTTTGCGCTAGATGAGGTGAAAATGGGAATCCGAGAATTTTGTGAAGGTTGTTAATCGGAGGAGTCTTTCTATTGTCCAATCTATAGTTCCGGTGAAGAAAATGAGAGGGAGAGGGAGAGATCCGAGTAATCTACAATGGAGGGTAAAATTATCATTTGTATCAATATACACATTTATGGGGAAAGTAGCTTACCAAACATCCCCACCCTAATAAGTGTTTAAAAACATAATAAGTGATTTTGAAAAGTGGGTTACCAAACAACCTTAAGTGGTTGTTAACTTTTAACAAGTACTTAATCATCAAACAGGGCGTAACATCCATTAAAAGATGATACACAAAGTCGTATCATACTATCAGAATAGTATGTGGAGTTTTCAAACTTTTTAACAAGTACTTAATCATCAAACAAGGCCTAACATCCGTTAAAAGATGATACACAAAGTCGTATCATACTATCAGAATAGTTTGTGGAGTTCTCAGACTTTTTAGCATTTGTAAGAAAGGTTGCGTTTGTTTGCGTGTAAGGCTGCATTTGGAAACAATGCAAATGGAGTGTAAATCTCAGTTCAAGGTAAATTTGCTCTGGTTCACTTTTGTTTGTATTTGGCAATATTACATTTATGCATTGACAAATGAAAGACCAATGCATATTTACATTGATAATAAGATGGCACATCAATAAAAAGAAGGGAAAATTCCCGGTAGGTACCCTGTACTTTAGGCCGAGTGCCAATTTAGTACCCGAATTTTAAAACACGATAATCTAGTACCCAAATTTTCATTTTGCGGCGATTTAGTACCCAACGTTAACTCACCGTCTGTCAATACCATCACGTGATATCAGGTGTGGGTCAAATATTTTTGAAATACCAAAACTAACCTTTATGAAAAAATACGAATCATTTCACCCTTTTTCCTTCCTATTTCCCTAATCCCCTTTTCTCTTCAATCTGGGTTGAACGAATGAGAGAAGAGAGGAGACTTCACTCAACTCCCCTTTAGACTTCAATCTGGGTTGAACGAACGAGAGAGGAGAGGAGACTTCACTCAACTCCAAACTTTCTCTTCATTCCAAGCACGCCCATTCCATCCCTTTCTCTTCAAACTCAGTTGGAGAAACGACAGAGGAGAGGAGACTCGGTTGTTCACGTGCAGCCCCTGAAGGAACAATGAAGAAAGGTGGTAAGCTTCACCCTTAACATCTATCTCCCCCAACTCCCCCAACATCTGTTCATCTATAACCGTGCACAGTTTTGATGGAGTTTTCATATGGACTCCACTCCAGAACTGCGCACAGACTTCATCTATAACCATCTTGCCAGAGGCATTAGAGATGGTGGGACCAAGGTTTAGCTTCAGAACCACGCACAATTCTGATCTGAAAATGTTCTACTGTTTCTTTGTCGCAAAATAACCCAGAAGCATATGTTATGATTTAGGGAGAATTCCATAAATTCTGGACAGAATACATACATAAGTGAATGGATGAGAGATCCATCTATGGATGGCCGAACCCTGCAGGTAGGTTCGGTGAAATTTCAAAAATTTCCTCTCCCCTCATCTAGGAATCACATTCCCTGTTTTAGAAAATCTGCATTTTCAAGGATCAATCTTGAACCCTATCTCCCAATGGAGGTGTTCACGCCCAAGGAAGGATCCAAAGACTGCTCCCACTGAAATGGCATAGTGTAGGTTGGAGCAGAATCAACAGTGTTCTTCCAAAGAACCAGATCCTTCACAAGAATCAGCTGGACGGCACGTGAGCATGACTTCCAATCAGCCATTTCACAAAGGACTGATATCAAGATCCAATCTTGATCACTCCTACTGTCGTGGAGATGCACTGGCAATGGCGGCGACGATAGGGAGAAATCAGCGCAGTCTCACTAGAAGCTGTTTTCTCTCTTCTGTAATCTCTTCTCTGTAGGTGAGAATGTGATCTCTTAAAGGCTGCCACCCCTTCCTTCTTTTATAACCTTAAAAGGATAAGCTCCTAATCCCATTAGGAGTTGCTGACCCTTATCCAATCTGCAGATTAGATCAACCCTCTCCTAATCTTATCAGGAGGTTTCCAGATCTGAATCTATATTCAGATTTGGACTCTCTAATTGGATAGGGTAAAACCCTATCCTATCTGCTAATCTAATCTCAGATCCGCCCCTTCATTTGACTGATCAAATCAGCCCAATTCGAAATGAGCTTTATGCCCAATACGTATATGTGCTCACTTAGCCTTACAAACTGTTGCCTAGTTGGGCTTCCTTGTATGGCGTGGGACCCAAGCATTGATCTACACATCAGCCACAAATATTCGACCTAGCCTTTGTTACAAGGCATAGCCGAATTCACTAGAAAGCCTAGTGAACCCCCTAAGCCCATCACATGGATTCTATGGGCCCAACACTTACACTAAGTGGTCCCTGGGCCAAGCCACCTTGTAACACCCAGGGATTGTGGGCAAATGAAAGATTAGCCCATCAGGTATTACCCTCAATGGTCTTACACTTAACCTCTCAGCCCATAATGATCATACACTGCCCGACAAGAGAGGACCTCTCCCTCGGCTGCAAGGAACAATGCTGCACTCTTTGCTTACTTTGATCCCAGGAATTAAAACATTTGCAAACATTTTGAAACCGTAATATATATATATATATATTATATCCATATATAAAATATATTTTACAAAACAACTCTCAACGATTGAAATCGACTGCTGGCAGTCTTGGTTTCCATCAGAGAGAGTACATCCCCGATCATTATCTTTGTCCGACAAAGGGGCTGATCTTGTCACTATGAACACCCACTCAGATGAATTCTCGGACTGTCCCAACATACCCAAGTTTTGACCCCCTCTAAGGATCTCACTGATTGACATATCAAAGACAGCCCAATCTGACACCTAGTGCAGTATCATAATTGAGTCTAGGGGTTAGGTGTAACTTTCCGGTTTTGCCCACTAATCACCAAGGTCCAGGGCAATACTGAAAATCTGGTCCGGTTCAGGGTTTCAAGTAAACCTACACTGCATGTACCTCAGGTTTCATCTTAGCAGCTGAGACAGGCCACCCCAACACTTGGTGGCACACCAGTGTCAGCCTTAGCAGGATAAATCTCCCCAGACTTATCCAATGGCTGTGAACATTCTAAACTAACACGAGGCTCATTAAGTGTCCAGTTTAAGGGTATTACACAGAAACACACTACTATAACATGAATCAAATATGTACTTTATTCATTTACAATAAATGTCATAAGTACATCAATCTGATTGGAGCTAAGGGCATACAACTGTCGAACAACAGAATACATACGTAAGATGATGGATAGAATAGCAAGTTGGGTTTAAGTTCTCAAAAGATGATTAATTAATTCTTAATTCTTTATTAATAACCTAACTTAATTTGTTTATCAAGGGGAGAAAGGTTCAAGGAAACAAACGGCTTCGTCAGTGGTTGAGACTTGAGAGCCTCCTCATTATTTATTGGCAAGTCTTTTTTAGAAGATCTTGTAGCTCTGACAATCAAAAGATGCATTGAGCTTTTGACATAAGATATGGGCAGCCCAAAGACCATTTGGCAGACACGCACGTCTTTCCGTGCATCATTTTGGGTCTTTCCGTGTGATTAAAATGCGAAAGACGCGAGAAGCTTCATTTGGAGCTTCTCGAAATCAACCCAAAATGGGCTTCTTGCGTCTTTCCGGCGCCCCATCTTTTGGCGGCTAGATCTTCCATGTGTCAGACGGGAATAGATTGATTTTTGGTCTTCCCAGCTTGTAAACAACCGAAAGACCGCACTGAAAGACATGCCAAACGGGTCCTTAGTTACTTCTTTAGCCCCGTAACTCCTATCAAAGTTCTTTCATGTTTACGTCTAGTGAGAGTTCTTCCATAAGAGTCTGATTTAGGGAAGGGACACAAGACTCTTGTTTCTGGCGCTAGCAACAACACTTTGATTTAGGGACCCAAAATCCTTCAGGACCCAGAAAGGATTTAACAGAGAGACTGGATTTTTAATAATATATTGGAAACACATAATAGGAAAATTGTAAAATGTAACATGTTTGAACGATCCAGGAACCCGCAAGGATTCAAACACCGGTGCCGGCGCCAATGACAAGACTCTCATTTAGGAAAGGGAAACAAGACTCTTGTTCCCCTTGATAAACAAATTATGTATCTCATTCTGATTTAGGGAAGGGAAACAAGACTCTTGTTTCCGACGCCCGCAACAAGAGTCGTCTTCTCCGGAAATGACACTGGTTTCTTCGATTTCAACTTTTCTGGGGTCATGTTCAAGTGTTGATTTCAACTTTTCCAGCAGTGCATTTGCTTGACATCACCGGTGTGAGGAGTTGGTTTTTGGAATCTCAGGTAACTGCAAGTGTGAACAGTTGGTCCCACTTGCTGAGAAATTATAGTTGGGGTCATTTTTGTCATTTCGATCGGGAATCCATGCATTGCTCGAAATAGTTGATGGGTAATTAAGTATTTTTGTCTTCTAACTGATGGTGAGTTAATGCCAGGTATTAAAACGTCGTAAAATGAAAGTTCGGTACTAGATTGTCACGTTTTAAAGTTCGGGTACTAAATTGGCACTCGACCTAAAGTATAGGGTACCTATCAAGAATTTTCCCTAAAAAGAAGTAAATTTGCATTCAAGTGGGCTTTTGATAAAAAAAGCATATGCTTTATTGGAATTGGTGTTTGCATCCATTACAACTAAAAGTTTGTTTTGTAAGAAGGTAAATTTGTCCATGCCAAACTAACCCAACTTTGCAATTTTTATGGACCGTTTTACACTATATATTTGCATTCACACTTATTTGCATCATTTCCAGACGCAGCATAAAAGTCCATCGATGGAGTTTAACACCATCATTTAAAATTTATTAATAGTTGTATTTATTTATGTAAATATTATATCAATTTTATCGATGTTGTATTTATATCAATTATCGATGTAAAACTGTACATTGATTTATGATATAAAACTACACTCCATTCAAATGCCAATAAATACAAATCGGGAGTGGAGTTTTACACCCATCCTTATTTACACCACAAATAAATTTGAATTGGGAATGGAGTTTTATACCGGTCCGCATTTACAAAAGCAGCCAAAAGAAAAAAGGAACAAAATTAGGGCTGTATAAATGTTTTCACCCTAGAAAGCCCAAAATTTTGACACAGTCACAATTCAAGGACTGGAGCTGGTATGATCCCTAGGGTTGTCAATGGGTTGGGTTTGATTGAATAACAAATATTGGGTAGGGACAGGTTTTGGAATTCTACAACCCATATGGGCATGAACCGGATATGATATTAGGCTAAACCCAACCCTCCCTAAGACCCTAACCTGGTATATTGTTAGAATTTGGAAAGCATATGATAAGGTGAGGGTAGGGTTTTACATTTTGAGGGGGTTTTACATTTTGGTGAAAACTGAATTTAATAAGCAAAACAACAAACAAAAGACCATAACAGAAAAAGAAAAAAGAACCTACAACACATTAAAAAAAAAAAATCTTTTTCAGTAAATAGAATTTTGATTGAGTGAACATCGGCAGAGAAGAAGCCCTAGCTTCAATTCGTTCTTTCTTTTCATTTTGTTTGATTTGATAAGAAAGAGAGGCCGCAAGTGGCAACGATTATTGTTGGACCATATTTACAAATTTGCCACCACACTGGCACACTCGTTTGCATTTCCCGCTTTGCCCCCAGAGGCTGGTAGCCTGGGACCCCCTAATCTTTCCCTTCCTCTAAGCATCCATCGCGGGAGTGCGTCCTTCTGCAGCAATGGCGTCCACGCCTTCAACAGAGACTAAACCTTTCTCTGTTCTTTTCGTCTGTCTCGGCAACATCTGCAGAAGCCCCGCTGCGGAGGCCGTCTTCAGAGATATCGTCAAGAAACGAGGGATCGATTCCAAATTCAACATCGACTCTGCCGGTACAATCAACTACCATGAGGTACTTTACTTTGTCTGTTTTTGTTAGAATTGTTGATTTGATTCACGCTGATCAAGAGACAATTTTATGTTTACTTAATTGTTCGATGGAGGAGAGAGCGGTTTGGAATTTAATAGTGTTGTTGTAACAATCGAAATTGTTAAGGGTAACCAAGCGGATCCACGGATGAGGGCAGCCTCCAAAAGGCGTGGGATTGAGATAACTTCCATCTCGAGGCCGATAAGGCCATCTGATTTAAGAGACTTCGATCTTATTCTTGCCATGGATAAGCAAAACAGAGGTAATGAACTATCAAATATTACATTTGCTTCTGTATTCATTTTCCTAATTCTTTAGCATGGATGGCATTTAGTAGCGATTTTTTGGCTTCTATTTTATTTTCTGTGTCTGCAGAGGATATATTAAAGGCATTTAATAGGAGGAAATCCAAGGAACCTCTTCCAGATGATGCTAATAAGAAGGTTAACTTAATGGGTTAATTTTGTTGTTTGGATTACTTGATCTTTTTTTTCCTGGTAACTGTCTTATCAAGTTAAGAAACTTGTTACTCATTCGTTTTGTTGTTTCACGGTAGTGCAGGTTAGGTTAATGTGTTCCTACTGTAAGAAGCATGATGAAACCGAAGTTCCTGATCCTTACTATGGGGGACCTCAAGGTTTTGAGAAGGTAAACCACTAACTTGGCCTTACCATTCTATATGAATTCATCTTATGACTAATACAAGATTTTGAAGCTAAGATAGTTTTTTGGGTAAACCAGTGGAAATTCATTAAACAAGAAAAGGATGAGTATACAATAGGTTCAGAACATCAGAAGGAAAACAGCCAACCTACTCCCCTTTTACTGACCAAGACATGATGGGCAGATCATGGGCCTGTTGATTACAAGTTCTGCTAATGAATGACCAAACCACCGAATCTAAAAACAGAGACTTCTCTCTAATATCATGCAACATTTGACTATTTAAGGAAGGAGTGGATGGAATATCAGGTTCCATCTCAGATCCCCAGGTCGCTGTAATGTGTTATTTTCTGATGTTTTATTATCTCAATATCAAGCGACTAATCCATTTCTGTCAATCTATAAGCACATGGCACCTACTTGGTTGAAATTGTGAATGTTGCAAAGCTCATGTTGCGTAGGTAGATTGTGGAAAATAAATAAATAAATAAATTTGTACTTGTAAGTGTGCTTCTTGCACAAGACCTTGTTATCCCTGTGCACCATCATCATATGCCTGAATATGAAAATATGCCCTTGGCTTGGAGTACTAGTTTGAAACTTCGAATAACGATAAAACTGATGTAATTCATAGGAGCATTATATACTTGTAGGCTTGTGCTGCTGTACCTGGTTCCTTTTGAAAGACTTGTTTATTATCTTTTTTTTTTATCAGCAAAAAATTTTCATTAATAACAGAGAAATTCAGTTACAATAGATAAAGATTGCAGAGGGACATTCATCTAAACTGCAATCTCCAGCATCTAGTTACAATTCTGCCCAGTACAATGAAGATCTATTTGTCCCTTGTTTTGCTAGGGTATCCACCATCCCATTTGCATCCCATTTGACCCAACCAAAACGACTTGTTTATTATCTTTTCGATCCAAAATTACAGTAAGACCTATTACCTATGTAAGACAACCCTAGGACAAGAAGGTTATTACAATAAACCCCATGTAAGCTTGAGCTGCTCCAATGTTCTCCATCCAATTAGGTTAACCATTTTCCCCGCAGTTATCCTACCAAGCCAGTTCAGGTTATTATTATAATTTGACCTTAGATTTAATAATTTGAACTAATTCTTCGCCTTCTTAAGCAATTTTCTCCACTATGCTTTTTAATATGATAGATTTTAGTGAAGAGAAAAGATGGGGGAATGATTTAAACAGACCCATTAGCCCGAAGGTTTATGCCAATAGGTGGGGTTAAATAAGATTGAGTGGTGCCTGAAGTCTATAGTTTTAGAACCATTATTGCAAACCCCACTTGAAAGCATTCAAGTTAGTACAAGCCTCACGTGACATTTAAAAAATGGTTGCATAAGCTCAAATTAGATTCCATGGAGACATGTTTCAATGGCTGGCAACTTTTGCAATGTTTCACAGAAGAGATTTTGTTTCTGGTCTATCTATATGGGAAGTCAAGCAGTCGTTGTATAATAATTGAGAGATGACAGTAAAAGGGTGAAAAAAGTAACAACACAAAAGGGCATTGCCCAACGTTGGTCCCCCATCTAGGTTCTTGGGAGGGATGGACTAGATGCGGACCTGACCTTTGGCATTTTTTAGCACAAAGTGGCTGCTCTCAGATTCGAACCCTTGTTCTCATGCCTGTCAGCCTGAGATTGTTATTATCATTGTTATATTTTTTGCAAGCATGCAATTTTATTTGTGTTACTTAGAGATCCTTTGGAATAACATAAATAGAGTAAAATCGGTTCTTTTGGTAATGGCCAAATAGAGCAATGCATGCAATATTGTTATTATTTTTTTCCAACTTATTTATGCTTTTTTGACAAGTATGCAATTTTGTTTATGTTACTTAGAAATCCATTGGAAGAACATAAATAGAGTAAAATCAGATTTTATAGTGATAGCTCCTGGACAAGTTTTATGAGTTTTATTCTAAATTGGTTGTCTTTCATATTAGCAATTTCACTTCTACTGTTTTATTCGTCATGCCATTAATACTCAAACAATTTACTTCCAATTTGTGGTGTTATGGCAGGTCTTAGATATACTGGAAGATGCTTGTGAATCATTGTTAGACAGCATCCTCGCAGAGAACAGTCATACTTTACCATAATAGTTCTAATTAAGAGTATGCATGTTAGGGGTGCTCATTTGCAGCCCAGATTGGAAGCCTGGCTCGAGTTAGCTCGGAAATTTCTGGGCATGGGTCCAATGCTTAAAGCCCAACTCGGGTCTGGCCTGGCCTGCAATATATTATATATATTTTAATATACTTTATATATTAAAAGCATGCATGTTTGTGTTTTATTTTGTATTATATTATGTTATATATTTTATATAAATTTTGTTATGTGATATGTAAAACATATGTTGTATAATATTTTATATTTTGTAAAGTAAAACTTGAAGACCTTTATTTTAGCGTTTAACCTTTCATGGCTTATTTTTCGTAGTTGACTATTGTTAAATAAATTAATACAAAGCTTTCATTTTCATAATTCATCAATGTGAGATCTTGAATGTTAAATTGTTAACATCTTTGTTGAAATGAACAAGTTTAAATAGTTAGGTGTGTTAATTGACATTGAAGGTACTACATGGATGAATTATAAAAATGAAAGATTTGCATTCATTTACTTAACAATAGATAATTGTGCAAATTAGGTGGCCATGTGTTATGGTGCATGATTTCCCAACTTGCACGGTTGTCTATTGTTAAATAGATAAATGCAAAGCTTTTATTTTTACAATTCATTGATGTAGGATATGGAATGTCGACTTGCACGTTCAACTATTTAAGTTATGAACCTAATATTTAAGGTCTCACATTGATGAATTATAAAAAATGAAAGCCTTGCGTTCATCTATTTAATAACAGTTATCTAATGAAAATAAGTTATGAACAGTTGAACCTTAAGATAAAGGTCTTCAAAAGCAAATTGAACTTCTTTATATTTTATCTTATGGAATATGAAATATTATATATAATGCTGTCGCATAATAATATTTATATAAAATGTATAATACAAAATACAAAACATATTCATGTATGTTATATATTACATGTATTGCGGGGCTGTCCAGGCCTGGGTCGCACTGGAAGTATTGGGCCTAGGCTAGGCTAGAAATGATCACCACTACTGAATAGTATAAAATTGGCTTAAATTCCATTTTGTACAATGCTTTATGTTGAATGTAATCTCAAGAGCAAATTATATGGGCTTCACTTTGAATTTTGGTTAATTTTACCTACTGTTGGAACTTGATTCCATTATGTTTGAGCAATGGAACTTAAGATTTCGCATTGTACATTGATCCATGATGAATGAATTTTGTTCAAATGATAGATTGCTGCAATTCAAAATTTTTTATTACTTCCCACTGATAATTCGTTTACCACTCCCTTCCTCTCCTTCTCATAGCAACCCCACTCCCCACACCTGAAAAAAAACACTGGTGGAGAATGGAGCACAAGGCCATTAACCACGCATTAATATAATTCAGATTCTTGGAAATCCAACTTTGGAGTAAAATTTTTAAGTTGCAACTGCTCAGTTTGCAAATTTTCATCTAGAAATGAAGACTGTATTTGTTAAAGGTGTAAACACAGAACTGAAGTGAATTTTTTTTTTTTTGGTCGAACTGAAGTGAATTCATATAACGACAATTATGATTTCCAAAACATGTTGCATTCAAAATGGGAAACAAATTTTCATTCAAAAAGTTGATGCAAACGTTGTACTCAAAGCCAGTCAATAACCAAATGAGCAGCTAGATGCCTAGATGGAAGCAGATCCAGGTCTCTTGATATGTAATAATGTCGAATTCCCATGTATTTAGACTTGATCTGTTCCAACACTACCCACAGGACACTACAGCCGTATATTAGGAACATCTCCCATGAATCACAATACATAAAGTATAGGAGATACTCCCAATGGATAGCGGTAGTGTCTTTTGGGTTAAGTGGGTAGCAGATCCGAGCTCCTATTTGGAGTAGTCTTATTATAACTCGATACTGCACTGAACAGAACGAAATGGTGAAACAAGATCATGTAGTCCATATAGTTGGTACATGAATGAGAACTCAGTACTATTATACAGGTTTCATCCTTGTGGAGTTACAAGTTACAGCTTGGCCATGGATTCAGAACCAATGAACCCGCCAAAAAAAATATGAAACAGACGAATCGAAAATGTATACAAACTAAATTAACCCGTAGAACCAGCCACTGATGGTCGATGATGATCAAAATCCGGACCGAGTTAATAGTAAGTGCTTATCAATTATCATCCACTCCCCTAGATTTTCTCTGACACAAGTATGGACTTCATGACATGTAGTTCATACGATATATGTTATTGTCCCATGTTGGTAGTATGGGATAATAATGTGAAGTATCCCACATTGATAGAATGGGATGCTGTCGTGGGGTATATATGTGCTTGGGTTTAGGGGTAAGTTCTCTTAAGGCACGTAACAATATAGCTCTGTTTTGCCCCCTGCCGACCACGTTTCCTTCTTGGATTAGCATTCATGCAAGAAAAAGCATTGGCAAGATCCTTATCCTCTTCATTTATCAGCGCACTTGCTGCACTAGGATTGGCAAGGAGGAGCTTTGCCACGAGATATCCTGCAATCGACCATGTCTGGAGCAGATGTGCCTGTTTGCCAATGAATCTTGCACTTTTGGTGTCGTAGTATTCAGGCCACATATCCCTTGATATCCGCTTCTCTGCAACCTCCACAGCTTTCACTGCAATCTCTGATCTATTCATCTTTATGCACGCCGCTGTGAGCTGTGACAGGTTTCTCAACCATGTCAGTGATATACGACCTTTCTCTATCCAATGAGAAGTACTATGGACGTTCCAAAGAAAATAGAAAGGGAAAATCAAGGGTCCACATAAACTGAATGAATGGTTGAATGGGTATGGTGAAAACAGATGAAACAATATTTGGCAACATTGCCATCAGTGAGGATGCTATCCATACAGTGACATTCTTAGCATACCTTGTTCAAATGGCCTGATCCCGTATATGAGGTGTGTTTTAAAAGAGTGCAAGGTGTAAAATTAAAAAAAATGAAAAATGAAAATATTAAAAATAATATTAATTAAAAACTACATACTTAAATTTTAAACTAAATGTTTTAAAAAACCTATTAGCTCAAATTAAAATGCACAAACGTAACACACAATGCATATGCAAAGTGAAAATGTAAAAATAAAATTAAACATAACATATAAAACATATCCAAGCACTCAACAATTTTAAGCACATAAAACTTTCAAGCTCTTTATTTCTTTTCCAATTGCATTACTCTGATTCTGCGAGCCACTTGTTATCAAGCCCCTTGAGGCAAGCCCAAAAAAGTCCATGCTAGAGTCTTAAATTCTTAAGATCTACACAAAAAACTGGTTTTATAATTTAGTTTTAGTTCCTTATCTTTTAAAAAATGTCCTATATTAGGAAGGATGAAATGAACAAAATTAACAAATGGGAGGTTTTCAGAGCACTGATGAGCAAGCAAAGCGCAAGGTGCACCAGGCACACCAGACACGCCTTTCTAAGGTGGGTGCACCTGGGCCTAGGCAAAATGCAAGCCTTGAAATGCGCCTTGCTTTTTGTGCCTAGGCGCACCTGAGCATGCCTTTTCAATCACATTGAGGATCATTGTTTAAATAGAATTGCAAGTCAGTTCCCCCTCAGTCCCTCCCAAAATACAGTCAAAACACATCCACCTCTTCCTCATGGAATGATGACTAAACCATTCAATGAGGTACAGTAAGAACCTTACTTTATGGCTAGCATTCCTTTTCTCCCAATTCCATTATTATGTATATTTGTGTTTTGTGTGTCTTGTGCATGCTAATCAAAGTTCACATTAGTGAATTTCAAAACAGTTCACTGACCTGCCAGAGCAAAGTTGGCCAAGAACCTGCATTGTGGTAGGACCAAGGCCTGCATCAAAATTGAGAAACAACTCAACAATGAAACATAATAATATGCTAAATTCAAAGAAATGGCATGACAATTACATGTCTGGATCACCTACCAACAAAATATGTTCCAACACCCTACCAACATCATCTGACATCATACATCTCATACATGATGGATTCCACTTTTATGGTGGGCCCCAGTTTCATAGTGAGATGTGCGGTGTCAGATCAAGTTGGTAGGGTGTTGGTAGGCAGGAGATCCTAACTTGACAATTAAAACCTTACAGCAGATGAGCAGAGGCCTTACGTGTTCTTAGGATCACATCCGGTGATAATCCTCCACTCCTGGTCTTCAAGAGCAGGATAACATATCTTGAATGGCATATTCCCCACCAAGTCTGTCCATTTGGCTTCAATGAGATCCAATATGGCATGTGATTGATCCACTGTTGCAAGACTGCTAACTATAGACCACAAATTCCCAAGTGCAAAAAAACGAAAATCCATGTGGGCTGGCTGCAGATTTCCAATTAAATAGCCTCCTTTATTGGGCATCCAATCCACCAGCCAAGGAGGAATTTGATCAGGATAGATGTTGAACTTGTTGATAGCATCATATGAATACTCTTCTGTTTTGTAGCGATAGATCTCATTCAGTTTTCTCATATCCACCCAATAGTACTCTCTGATATGGAATGATAATGTGACCAGACGATTGTTTAGTGCTCGGATCAGATCAGCTGACCCATCCTCTGGAGCAAGCATCTCTCGGGCACAAAGAAGTGTTGAATAAAATAATGCCTGCAAGATTTGTAACAAGGACACCAAGTCAGTAAAGTAAATGTGCACATACGAATGTTAAAGGGTCATAATTTAACAATGGATATGGCATTAGACAAAAAGGTGCATCTTTTGCCATTTCAAGCACTATGTAGCATTTTGTAGAAATTTTGACTCCTTTTATCTCGCAAAATTTACACCATGTAGAAATAATTCTATACCAAACTCTAAATCAATGAACCTAACCCTATTGGAAACATGGATTCTGAGGAAGCAGAAATTAAATCTCTATCAATGGGTGTTTGGATTGCCAAGCTATCTCATCTTTCATCATTGGCTATTTTGGGAAACTTGGTTAATGTCTTCCGACCACCAAAGCACTTTGAAACATGTTGTTCATGAGGAACAAAGTTTATCTTTTCAACTTTTCCTTTGGCCCAATGTGAAGTCAGCATCTTGCTCTACTGATATCACTTAACCCACTTAAAGTTCCCAACACTTTCCACATAGACGGGAAACCAGTTTCTGTGGCAAACTTAAAGTCACTATATGAATGCCAAATAGTCAGATTGAGTGTGGTATTGCCATAATGTATTGTTTTCCTCAGATTCAGTGGAACCTTCTTTTTTCTACCCTTGGATCCCAGATAGAAGTCAAATGGTTAGTTGATTACCGAAGTGAATCATAATCTTAACTTGCAACTTTTCAGCCTATTCTTGGCAGCCAACATATCTACTTCTTTAATGCCATAGTGCATTAACCTTAGTAAACCAGTTGTCTTTGCAAGTCCTTGGAAAAATTGAAAGTTCAGGTAAGATGGATACCTTGGGAAATAAATATGGTAGTGGATGCTCTTGTTAAGCAATAGCTCTATTCCTTCTTACTTCTTTTCTAATTGGAGGGGATTTGTTTTCTATATTTTGCGCATCAGTTTACATTCTCTCATCTAATATCCTGCCATTTATCTATAATACACACACACACACACATTATCTTCACAAAAAGTAATCTAAACAATATTCAGCCAAAAGTGGTTTTATTTCAAATTTATTCTCTGGAAAACTAGAAAGGATTGGATCAGGAATGAAGGAATGAAGTCATCCTACCAATGAGTAGCCACAATAGGTGATAAAATGAGAGAAAGTAGACTAAGATGTTTGCTCACATGCATAGAAGACCATCAACAACACCAGTTAGAAGAAATGATATGTTACAAGTAGAAGGGGCTAGAAGGGCCAGGGGTAGACCGAAAAGGACATGGGTAGATGTAGTAGAAGTGATTTAAGCACTAATAATTTAACAGAGGATATGGCTTCGAATAGAACAGATTGGCGAAACAGGATGCATGTAGCTGACTCCATATAGTTGGAATAAGGCATGGACAGCAATGATGATAATGATGACTATCATAACTTGCACTATGCTGTAATGCAACATCCAAAATATTTGAACAGAATTTTAGTCTTTCTTCAATGCCCTTTCAACCAATAGTAATAAGTCATCCCATTTTTTTTCTTTTTATTAATTTTAACTAGCTTCTGTCTTAATTAATTCAAAGTACAATGCATACAGAAATAATTTTATCCTAGTCATTATTCCTGAATACATGTGGAATATACAGTAAAGCCTGAACGCTTATTTTGGGGGTCAGGGAGTTGTTGAAAGGTAATTCTTTGATTGAGAATACTCTCATTAACTAGATGTATTATAAGACAAAGAAAATGGAATATGAAACAACCAATCAAGATGGCCATCAAGGAACATATAGGAAAAAAATAACAATATTACTTTTTCCTTCTGAAAAGAGAGGAACAATCTATATACCTGAATTTCCAGAGGATGGCCATGAATTCCCATGCGTCGGTCTACCATACAAGAACCATCAGTCACCAGTAATGTTGGGAACATATCAAAACCATCTGCAAGGCATAACCTCAAAATCATCTTAATTCCAGTCTGTACATCAACTCTCTCCTGAACTGAGAGATCTCCAGAGCATTTTCCATATGCTCGTAGTAGTATAATCCACCACAGTCCTGATATTGAAAATGTTATGTATACAGAAAGTCAGAGACCCATCAATCAAAGAGTATTAAAACATGCTAACCCTTTTATAGAGGAGATCTGATTTTGATTTACTTACCAGAATCAACTGGTGCAACACGGCCAATTGCTGCCTCTCCAAAATCAGGATCCAAAATGTCCTCAGTTGCAGAATCGTCACCCTCAAGTGGAACAGTGCGCACCTTGAAGCTGGCAGGCATCAGCCCTTGACCAGGACTATGGCAATCCATTGTTTTCTCCCAGCTCTGTCAAATTAAGGAGTGATACTAAATTTTAAATGCAAATTAACTTAGTTGTATCTTCTAAAACAAATGACCAAATTGGTATTGTTGATATGGCACTTCAAATCTGTAAAAAGATTTTTGTAACAAAAAAAAAAATCTTTAAAATATTCAAGGATTCTCAGGAAAATAAATTCCGTATTTTCCTACAAAAGTTGCAAGATTATCCAGGTAACATCCAAGATATGTCAAGGCATCAACTGTTCAATTCATGAGAAAATTTGCTTTATGCCTAGGCTAATTTGTGGAATGATGAAGCAGAGCATAGTTGGGGTATAATTCGAATTCCTTTTTGCTGTTTGTTGGGACATTTAGAAAGAAAAAGAATAAACCTTTTTCTAAAGAAAACATTGGTTGATTAGAAGAATAATAGCTGGCATTTTCTCTGTGATGTTGGAATGGCTGTGATTTCATCCAAAGTTTGGTACTGCTGTTTTCTATTTTCTTTTGAATTGGTGACTTCCCATCACTTTTTATTTGCACTCCTTTTATTTTAATGAAAGTGCGATTAACTATAAAAAATGTCAAAGTTGTTAGGAGAATATCAATTGCATGGGCTTGATAAAATCTGGAAAAATGTTTGAAGGATGGGTTAGGGCTATGGTCCATGTATGATAATGAGAGGTGCTGAAATGGTGAAATCCAGCTAAATATCTGAAGGTAATCACTTCCATGTTTAAAGTACAGCAGTGGTTGATGACATTATTCTGACCTTGTCAGATAAACCTGAAAAAATCCATAAAAGATCCTGCAAATGGCCAACTCCAGTTTTCTCTTTTAATTTGGAGAAAGAAAGAACTACTTTATTAGCAAAAGCAGATGGCTTGATGCAGATTTGTAGCAGGGGTTACATCCTACCGATACAAATAACATGTGCTTTGACTGAGAGATTCATGCAACTCTGGAAGAAAACAACTGAGAGATCATTTTGATGCTGAATTAATGTATTATAGGTTAAACATGAAAGAATGAAATTGAAATGGATACGTGGGACAGGAAACCTTGACAGTAACTCCGCCATGTTAGCCCAAGTGTGGGGGGGAGTAAAAGATGATAGTATGGCATGTTCATTGCTTTCAACTTGTACCTGAAAGATTCAAAAATAAGAAGGGAAGTGCTAATGTTGCTATTACTTCAGATGTCACTACTAGCTCTAGGACTAGATCCACTTATTTGGAGCCATTGGTTGCTATTAGAGATACTTTGACTCAGTTGGAGAATGAAGTTGGAATTACCAGATCATCTCAGTCCACCACCCTGGCTCCAACTCCTACTTCAGCATTTATTCACTCAGGTACAACTGTATAAGGGCTACTGCTTATCATGCTTTAGCTCTAGGTAGCACTATCGCTTTTGGATTGTAGATTCGGGTGCCTCTGACCATATGATTAGTTTATCCTCTTTGTTCACCTCTTATTGGTTGTCTTCTCATAGAGACAAACCCTCTATTTCTGTTGGATTATTGTCCCTATTTTTGGCAAGGCAGATATTAGGATGTCTAATGCCATCACTCTTTCTTCAGTGCTTAATGTTCCCAAACTTGGTACTAATCTCCTTTCTGTTAATAGTCTTACTAAAACATAGAATTGTTTATTAACCTTCTTTCTTGATCATTGTGTTTTCTAGGATATGGTGACAAAAAAAGTAATTGGGATTGGTAGTAAGGCAAATGGAATCTACCTGCTAGATCATCCACCTATGAATAATAAAGAAATTAGTAATCTTGTATCTCAGTCAGCGAGTCAGATTATTTTTTGGCATAATTGATTGGGTCATTTGTCTTTTGGGTCTTTAAGAGTTCTTTTTCCTATTGTATTTGCATCAATTCAAGTGTCCAATTTGAAGTGTGCAAGTTATGAACTTGCAAAACATTGTAGATCAACTTATTCTCCGAGTAATAAAAAAAAAAAAAAACATTGTTCCATGTAAAATTGTTCATACTAATATCTGGGGGCCTTATCATACTGCTGCTAGGGGGGTATAAGTACTTATTACTTGTTGATGATTATTCTCATTTTCTTAGGTTTATCTTATACGCTCTTAGGATGAGGTTCCCATATTGACTTGTTTTTTCCATCAAATGGTTCCTTGCACAGTTTGGCATTAGGATCAAAATATTCCAATCTAACAATGCCAAGGAATACTTTACTAAACCCTTGACTTCGTATTTTTTCAAGTATGGGATTATCCATCATCAAAGTACATGTCCTCATACCCCCTGGAAGAATGGAGTTTTGAGAGGAAGAACAAACACATCCTTGAAGTTGAAAGGGGTATTATGCTGACTTTAAATGTCAATGTACATTTTTGGGTGGATGCAATTCAATTGCTGTTTATCTTATCAACGAATTTCCTTCTCGGGTTCTAGATATGAAAACTCCTTTTTTCTCTTGTACCCTAACATGGATTTATTCTCTATTCCTCTTAGGCCCCATTCATTTGGCGATAAGTTACTAGGGTAAATGCATTTGCCTAGGTAAGTGTTACCTAGGAAAATGTTACCCGGCAAGTACATTTACCCATGTTCATTTGCTAGATGGGTGAGCGAATTTCCTAAAGGATCCCTATTTTTTTGGAAAAAGCATTTAGTCCTACACAATTTGGCTAATTTCTCCCTCCATGGGTGAATAATTTACCCACCTCCCAAGTGGGTAAAACTTTCACAAGCAAGTTGCCAAAAACTTATCCATGGGAAAGTTTTGTTTCCATGGGACGCACACTTCACTGGTAAAAGAACATGGGAAAGTCAACTTTACCTCCCAAACAAACAAGGCCTTAGGGTGTTCGGGTGTACTTGTTTTGTTTAAACTTTGAGACCTCATTGTACTAAGTTTGATCCTAAGGATGCCAAATGCATTTTTCTTAGTTATGTATAAAATCAAAAGGGGTATTGTTGCTATTATCTTTCATCTGGTTCTCGTTTTGTCTCTATGGCACTTTCTTTGAAGATATTCCTTATTATTCTGGCGTTTCTTCTTAGGGAGAGAATGGTGAAAGGGTTATTTTTTTCTCTAAATGTTCCCTTGCCTATTCCAATCATTGAACGGGAGGGTGGAGCAAAGGAATTTTAGAAGTGTGAGGAGTTTCAAGTATTTTAGAGATATAGGTGGAAACAAGTTGATTATGGTCCTCATTAGAGGTGTAAACGGATCGAATTCGAAGCGAATCAAGATATATCCGAATTCGAATTCGATTGCATAAATAAAGATTCAAATTCGATTCGAAATCCGTTGAATATCTAAAATCAGTAACTGAATTCGAATTCGAGTGAATAATCGAATATTCGACCGATTCGAATTCAACTGTTTAGGTTTGGCATAAAACATAAAAATCTAATTCTAATAAAAATAAAGAAATTGGGGATAAATGAAAGATGAGGACATCTCGTTGCTCCAAACCCAAAAAACAAGCTACCTATTTCTGTTTGTGAATTAAAATACAAAAATATTACTTTAGAATCAAAATATGGTAGCTACAATTTTGACAAAACTGAATCTAAATTCGACAACCATTCCCATAGTAAAGATTAAGCAAAAGAAGAAATGAAAAAAGCTACAAACACTAGAAAATTTATAGAGGATGAAGCAAAAAAAAAAAAAAAAAAACAAGTCAGAATCTGGCCTTAGTTGATCGGTTGATCTACCATTGCTGCTAATGCTCCTTGTCACCGTCGGCAACAATCGCATCTTAGACAAAAACGACCTCAATGTCGACATCATCTTTGTTGAAAATCTGCTAATAATATTTGTGAAGAATGTTGCAGCAGCAGAGGTTTCTCCAAGTTGTTCATTCACCATTTTGCTTGTGCAAAGATATTAGCACTAAACTTTGTGAATGAATGTTGCAGCGGCAAGATTTCTCAACTTCGGTTGCCATTTTGGCTCTTCAAAAAATACACAGAGGAGAAGTATAGAAGAAGGCAATGATGAGGGTTAGGGACTTTCGCTTGGGTTTAGAGTTGGATTTTCAAATTTCAAATGAGAAAGGAGATTTCTTGGACAATTCGTTGATATTTTGGGGAAGGGGATTTGTTGGAGGATTGGACAACTCGCTGATTTTTTGGGGAAGGAGATTTGTTGGAGGATGCGCTAGATTTTTTAATGGCAGAGAAGATTTGTTGGAATGTGTGTAGGAAAAAATTATTTTACCTTTATACCCTTGAACTATTAAAGAAACATAGATACAATAGGGTTATGCATGTAAATTTATATAATATATTAATATATGTAATTACAATCGGTTCGGATATATATCGGATCGAATCAAGTCAAATTCGAATTCGATCCGATTAAATAATCGGTATGAAAATTAAATTCGAATTCGACTGTTTATTTGATTCGAATATCCGAATTCGATTCGTTTAAGTCGAATCTCGAATTCGGAATCGAATTTCCGGATACCGTTTACAGGCCTAGTCCTCATGATGTGTCTAGGCCAGCTCTTTTCTCTTTTGAGATGCCTAATCCACATACTTTGCTTCTTTGCCTATTGCTATCACTTCATTACCCACTCCTTCTAATGACCTTACTATTTTACCTTATGACTCCTCACATGCATAAATTGAGCCTCCTTTTCCTCCAAGTGATCTTGATCTTCCTATTACTGTACGGAAAGGGAAGCGTAGTTGTACTACATCTACTACCCATTGTATTTCACAGTTTCTTTTGTTATGATCTTTTTTCATCACCCTATAAATCCTATTTAGCATTTGTTTCTGCCATCCCCATCCCCCAAAACATGCAAGAAGCTCTTTTAGTGCCTGAGTGGAATGATACAATGAAGGCAAAGATAGATGCTCTCACTAAGAATTAGGCTTGGGAATTGGTAGACAAGTCAAAGAGTAAGAAACTTGTTAGATGTAGACGGGTGCTTACTGTGAAGTACAATGCAAATGATTCAATTGAAGGGTATAAGGCTAAACTAAACTAGTAGCCAAGATGAACACCATCAAGGTACTATTGTCTCTTGTTGCTAGTTTTTAATGGCCACTATTTCAAATGGATGTCAAGAATGCATTTCTATATGGAGATTTCAAGGAAAGTCTATATGGAGTTGCCTCTTGATTTTTGTGGTGCAAAGGTAGGGAAAAAGATACATCATTTAAAGAAAATATTATATGGTTTAAAATAGTCTCCAAGAGCGTGGTTTACTTGCTATGGAGAAGTTTGACTTGATTATGTGCAAGCTAAAACTAATCATACTCTCTTTATTAAGAGAGGTGGATCATCATTGACTCTTTTTGTGGTTTATGTTGATGATATTGTCATTACAAGCAATAATATTGCTAAGATTGAGTCTCTTAAGCAGTTCAACAAAGAATTTGAAGTGAAAGACTTAGGGGGTCTATGGTATTTCTTGGGAATTGAGGTGGCCCAATCTAAAGTATGTTCTTGATCTCCTAAAGGAAACTAGGAAGCTTGGTGTTAAACCTTCTAATACACATTGAGTTGAATCATAAGATAAGTGCAGAGGGTGGTGAGCTTCTCGAAGACAAAGCTATGTATCAATAGCTTGTAGGGAAGCTTCTCTTTCTTTGATTGAGTTGCCCTGAGATTTCCTATGGTGTCAATATTGTTAGTCAGTATCCTCTTGTGGTTGAGAGGATACTTGCTTACTTGAAGAGGTGTCCAGGCAAAGGTATACTTTATGAAGATAGAAGTGCACACTAATGTTGATTGGGCCAGATGTGTTGATGATAGGCGACCCACTTCAGGGTATTCACTTTTGTAGGAGGAAATCTTATTTCATGGAAGAGTAGAAACAAAATGTTCTTGCTTGTTCTATTCCCAACTGGAGGGGGAGTGTAGAGATGCAGTGGACAATTCATAGATATTTCTGTCTTTTTTTCTTATGCTTATATTGTTGTTATTATATGTTTTATCATTGTTTAGGGTAGAATATTTTGATCATTATACTTGTTTTGTTTTTGTACTCATATAAATAGCAATCTAATGGGGCGGCAAAATAGATTCTTTTTTCTACTCCCTTTCTCTCATTCCTCTTGTCTTTCTTCTACTTTCTCTCTACTTTTCTTCTTCTTTCATCACCTGTTTATTTTATAAATAAAAGCTGTTTACACTTGGTTTGACAAGTCAACTAACAGTAAGGATCCCAAGTCCATGAGCCTTAGCTTAGTAGGTAAAAGCTAACCCTACTTTGCAAATTAACCCAAGATATTGTCTGGATTAGAATGGTTGTGAAAATAATATTGAGTTTTTGCTCATTGTTGTGGGGAACAATTGATGTTCAGAAACATGTAGAAGAAAATTGAAATTGATGAAGATATTTCAAATTGAAATTAAGAAGGCTAAATGGCTCACCAGTAACTTAGCAGTTTTTGTTAAATGGGAAAGGAGATTGGCCAATGGACTGGCTGACCCTCCAGCTAAACAAAGGGTTTATAGGGATCATTTATTTTGGGCTCAAATGTAACTTGTACTTTTTCTAGTTTTCTGTCTTTTGGATTAGGTGAATCTCACACCTCTCCCTGGGCTGTTTGTACTGTTATATATTCTGTTTCTAATAAAATTACTTATAAAAAAAAGGACTGCTTTGGAGACATCAATAAGGACTAATGGTTTTCTAAGTCAGAGAATTCATTCATATAAAATAGACAGGCAATTATTACAAGGTGAATTCTTTGACTATAGACATGAAAGATGACCTCTGCTAAGGGAAAACTAGTGGTAAAACAAAGGGATCTTGCTCATGGCATTTGCAGAAACTGACTCTAAGATTGGCTCTAGAAGTGGTTCTCCAATTCCAATCTTAATCTCAGTCAACCCGGATTTATCATCTATAAGAGCCAGGCTATATTTCCATTACTGTCAATCTAAAATGAGCTGATTGCCGTTACAGGCACACCCTCTTCCTTTAACAGGAAGGGCAGCAGACACCTTCAGCCTACACTTATTCAGTATGATATTCTCACAAGATATAAAAGAAATACAAAGGAGAGGGAGTTAGTTGATGCAATGCAACTCCTCTTCCCATTGTGGAGAATGAGGAACAAAAGGGAGACTATTAAGAATTTCGCAATTGAAAAGGTGGATGTTAAGAGAAATAGACATAGGCAGTCAAAAACCAAAGAGGTAGCCAAAGAATTGAACTCGGTAAAAATTACAAACTTCTTACGGTACCAACTCTGAAAAGTTAATCATGTAAAACGAGGATTTTCTTCTTTCTGCCCTTGAGTAGTAGGACTAACACTGTCATTTTCAGAAAATATCAAGGAGAACTAAATTCTTTTTTTATGCTCATTACTTCCTTCATAGTTTCTGAGGTTTGTAGTCATGGTCTGGATGTAGAGCATGTGAACATTTTGTCTGTTGGTTATTTTTGGTCTAGGAGGGACTCTACAATGTTGAAGAGTTTGTATGTTGGGGTTTTTTTATTGTCTCTGTTGCTATTGGAGGAATGTTTTGTTTTCTGACACAAAGGTCAGGTTTCATGTATCGGAATACCATTGGTGGCACACCTAAGTTACATGAAAGGTTACTACAGGCATCTCTGGGTTTTGGTTGTTGTGGAATTCGTACTTGGTGTTCAGTGATCCTTCTTTTCTTTATTATTTCTTTCTTCTTGAATAAAAACACAAGATGCATGGCCATTGATCTAGACCATCCAAATGTGGGTCCACCTTTTGGATTACAATGACAAAAAATCATAAACTACTCATAACATTATCCTTGTGGAGATCTTATTTTGCATAGTTAGAACTCTTTCCAAACAGTATGGAGTCTGATCTATGTCAAGGATGCAACTAGCCATTTTATTATCTGCAGTTTACTCTAAATACATAATTTTGTCCAGGCAGACCTACCGGTGCAGGCCATTCCCCAATCCAAGGGTTGGTATAGCATTTTAGTGATCTGGATTCATGATTATATACCACAATTATGAATTGTCACATGTAGGTAAGTGGAGAAGACTGAATAGGGAAAATGTACATGACAATGTTGTTATAAAAAGAGGCCAATGACATTAGCATTGCATGATAAATACTCTCAGAGTGATCAGTAGAACTGTAGAAGTCAAGGATTTACAATATTCTTGTGTACTTCCTGTGAATGAAGAGGACCTCAATAGGGAAAATTACCACAGGAAGTTTCAAAAATGTAAAAGAAAGAAAATTTATACCAATATAAAAATCATAATCTTAAACAGAGAAACTGCCAGAAGTAAAGAGTATTTTGGTTGGATAGTTTACCTGTAATTGAAGTGTATGAAGGATGAAGTTACGGACAATGTCATACTCTCCCTTCAAAAGAAATGCTATTCCAGAAGGTATGAAATCACGGATAAAGACCTGATCATAGTTCAGTACATTGGAATCGGTTGGGTCCTTGGCAGCAATTGTTCCAATGGGACTACCACAGTAATAGACTACAGATTCACGTAGAAGATTCCATGCCTCATCCTCAAGAGAATCTATGCCAACTTTATGCAAGCTATCTTTGACCTTTTCAACTGAAGCTAATTTACCATTGGAACCAGAACTTTCACTTTCATGTTTTGATTGTTGAACCTCTTCAAACTCTAGAACATTGGGAACATTCATAACACTATTGAGTGGGTTAGGTTTCTGAACTGCATCCAATAGCCAGTTCACATTTCCATCCTTTGCAGTTAACTCACCAGTACTTTCTGTACGTTGGCATTGGCAATTCACAGACATTGATTGAGAAAATACAATATTTCCATGGGAAACATGCCCTATACCATGGACAGTGGAGATCTTTGGGTGATTTTGTAGCACCATTGAACAATTTAGCAATTGCATATACACTGAAACCCTTCTCTTTCTACGCCTTACATGGGATCTAGAGAGAAAACTTGAGTCTAGTTTTCTATTACATGTATCAGGGAATAAAGATTTGGGTATAGCTCCTGAAAAAACTTGCAAGGACGCTTCTGAAGTGCTAGGCAACACAAGCGACATTTTAATATGTTGTTTGTCCAAATATCCTCCCCTTCCAAATGACTCCAAGGCTTCAGATGCCTAAGAAAAATGCTTCGAGTCAAAATAAAGAGAAAATATAAACCACCAAAAGTGTACTTCAAAGAGCATACTAAATTATTCAAACTTATATTGATAAAGAGAAACCCAATACTACAGCAGAACCAAATTTTTATTGCACTGACAAAAATTTAGTATTACCCAAAAAAAAAAGAAATAAATCAACAGAAGGCAACTCAGGAGACGTGATCAAGCCAAAGTATATGATTTTTAATCTCAACAGACATTATAGTAAGAGAAATTTCAGACAAACAAGAAGGACAGCGTCTACATGAAAAATCCGAAAACCACAAACAGTTTATCATAAAGAAAAGAGCCTCTAAAAGAAGATTCAGGTTCAAAATATCTGGACTAAGTCGCATCGGCTAATCATCAACGACACCTATGCATCAGTTTACTAGAGCTATATTTTATAGGCTGGAGACATGTAGTTGCAGGCTTGCAGCAAAAAGAAAAGAAAAAAAAATGTTGACACAAGAGAAGAAAACCAAGTTCTACTTAATGATGTTAACAGAGAGAACAGGGCATACAGGACCAGTATTAATCAATACCAACATTCATTGTTTACCAAAAACAGACACTAATAAATTTAACCTACTGTCCATCCAGCAAGTTCAACAACTCTTAACTAGGCCTTCTGCTATGTCAGATTCTACAACAACAAAAATAACAGAAACCATTTTCTGAACACAGACATCAAATTACAGTGAAAGCTGAGAAATGAAAGAAACTCATCCTCAGCTCTTACCGACTGCAATCCAATCCGACGAATTCGATCCAGAAATGAGAAACAGATCGGAAACTTGGGTTCTCTTAAGCGTCTTCAACCACAGAAAAAATGCTGAAAGCATGAAGAAACCCCACCACTTGTTCAATGATAGAAAAAAACGAAATTTGAGAAAAAAACGAAGATTTGCAGCCAGAAAATGCCGGGAAAGAAATTTGAGAAGACCGTTTTGATCGTTTTGACAGGTGTTCTGCTTCCGCGTGTGGCAAACGGAACTCCAAAACTTCCAGTCCAAGCCTTTGCTTTTCAATTTTGAAGAGTAATGCTAAGCGTACAAATTTTATTTTTTCTGTACGATTTACTAATCACCAAATACCACTCATTTTGAACATTGTGTCATTTTCGGGTGGGTCTATAAACAGCTGCGTTCCATACACACACAGTATTCCAAATGTACGGTAAAAGGTTTTTCCAAAAAATGTACGATAGTCATTTTGCTAGAAAGCAATTTTGTATAATTGCTTTTGTGTAAATTTCACTGTCCAACAAATTTGTATAAATTTATTTACTAGAAAGCAATTTGATATTGATACCACGTCGACCCACTAATCCAAACTCCAAATAAATGGATACCGTAATCTATCTGAAATTGCAGAGTTCATTGGATTTTCCAAACAATGTCCCACCTCTAAATCTAATGGTTTTGCTCATGGCCCGAGGTTTTGGACTTTGGAGGGTCTGGTCACTGGTCGGACTGCCATTGGTGGACCGTGGACGTCCGTCCACGGCTCGGCTCAACTAGAGAAGTGTTGAGCTGGCTAATTGGATGGTCACTGGCCAGCCCATAATGTTATGAGTGGGCTGGAATGGAACCATCAACCCGTTGATCCATTCACCCCGTCTCAGGCCAAAAACCGTTGAATCAATTAATGACTTATTGACCTGAGCAATCGAACCATTGATACATTGATTTGTTTAATGGTTTTTGGTCGTTTTTTTTTTATTTTTTTAATCGGGAACCATCTAGGCAACTGGTTCTGTTTTATCCTAATCTCGGTTCTTAGCCAAAAATCATTGAATCGGTCAATGACCCATTGACTCGGGTGGTCAAACCGTTTGACCCGTTCAATGGTTTTTAGTCATTTTTTTAACTTTTATTGTCAAAACGGGTCATCCGATCAAACTGAACAGTCGAACCGTTGACCCGAAAACCGATGGCCATAACGATTCCATTTTCAAGTCGTATGAGTCACACGCTCAAATGACATAACACGTAAGGTACTGCTTAATGGACCTCACACACTCAATTTTTTGCATGTAATTTTTGTTGTCAGAATGGGTCGTCCGTTTTTTTTTAATTGGGAACCGTCCAGGCAACCAATTCCGTTTTACCCCAAACCCGGTCCCTGGCCAAAAACCGTTGAATCGGTCAATGACCCATTGACCTAAGTGGTCAAACCGTTGACCCATTCAATGGTTTTTTGGCTGTTTTTTTTTTTATTTTTGTTGTTAGAACAGGTCGTCGGTTCAAACCAAATGGTTGAATCGGTGACCCAAAAACTAGTGGCCAAAACGATTTCATTTTTCGGGTTGTATGAGTCACACACTCAAATGATATAACATGTATGATACTGCTCAATAAACCTCACACACTCAATTTTTTGCTTGTAATTTTTGTTGTCAGTATGGGTGGTCCATTCGAACCGGACGATCGAACTGTCGACTTGAAAACCGGTGGCCATAATGGTTCTGTAATTTTTTGCTTGTAATTTTTTGTTGTCAGAATGGGCCATTCGTTCGAACCGTCGATCCAAAACCAATGGCCAGAACGGTTCCGTTTTTGGGTCATATGAGTCACGTGCTCGAATAACATAACACGTATAATACTACTTAATGGACCTCATAAGCTCAATTTTTTGCCTATAATTTTTGTTGTCATAATGGAATTTCCGTTCGAACCGGATGATTGAACCATCGACCCAAAAACTGGTGGCCAAAATGGTTCCGTAATTTTTTGCTTGTAATTTTTGTTGTCAGAACGGGCCATTCGTTCGAACCGGATGGTCGAACTGCCGGTTGTTAGAAGACTCAGAACATTATTAACAACATTTATCAATAATAGTGAGTAATTATACTATTTAATTAAATAATCATTAATGATAGTTCTAATAATATTATTTAGTTATTATATTAATATTTTTAAAAATATAATTGAATATACTTGAATCTTTTCTAATAGAATTATAAATTTTAATTATTTTATTTTTATTTTTTAAATAAAATAAAAAACAAAAACAAAATGATTAACATTATAAAAAATCATGGTGAATGAAGATCCCGTGGGGACGGGGATGGGGAGAGGCTCTCCTTCCCTGCCCCACCCCGTTGCCTTCTGTCAATCATTTCCCCGTTTGTGAATCACAATATACAATATATTTAGAATTAGATGGGGGAATTGGGGAGATTAAGATGCCCATCACATTACTCCGTTTTTGGTCTTTTATATCATTTGAATGTACGAATGTTAATACCAAAAGAATGTCATTTTTAAGGCCTTGTTTGTTTTCAGGAATTTATTTTCCTGGGTAGGTGCACTTACCGAGTTAGTGTTTTCTAGGTTGTATCTTCTGGTACCATTTTTTATTATTTAATTTTTTTTTTCATTTACCCTCTATTTGGAAAATTCAACTTATCCAAGTCTGAGAAAAGTATAAAACCAATTTTATTGTAGATCTCACACGTTTTTGAAATAAGAACACGAGTAAATTGGTCATAGAAACCATAATCTCATTGACTAACTTTTTCCCTTGACCTAAATTCTAATGCAAATCACTTAAAATTAAAGAACCTTTGCCTAGTTATTTTGTCCCCAATATAAACTCATGCTGCAATCATGCGGCTCAAATTTGCAGGAGTGCAAGAAGTTAGAAAACACAAATGCATTTGCCTATGTAACACGCATCTTTTTTGCATGTGACAATTTACTTTGAACTTTTGAAGGAAGGTTGTATTTGGCTTTAGCACATCTTCAATTTCTTTATGGTCCCCTCAGGCAGGACCACTAACGACCAAGTAGCTAAGATGATTTATTCAGTGTCCCTCCAAATAGACGTCTGAGTTAACTTTTACTCAGAAAATCATGGTTTTCAAAAACGGATCGGATCAGACGGTTGGTCCGGAAAAGCCAGAAACTGGTCAAATGACTAGTTTCTTTTTTTCCCTAAAATCGAATATTTACAAAAAAGCATTGATTTAATCAGCAAACCATTAACCTGGACGATTGAATCATTTAATGGTTTTGACCGGTTCTTATTTTTTTATTTTTTGTCCGAACGAACCAACTATTCTACCCAGTAACCGATCCCCTGACCGGTTCAATCTCCAGGTCGGTTTTAAAAACTTTGGAAAAAATAGTTGATTTTCACATAGATATTAAAGCCACCACATGGAAGATTACAAACTTTTCTAAAACAAGAAGGCGTGGCCCTGAATTGGACTATTTTCTCTTTTATAATAAGAAAAATCTACCCTGTATCAATTGTATCATGCAGTAAAAAGATGTATATTAATAATATCTTTTATTAACATCTTATTAAACGACAAAAGTATATTTTATAAAATATGAATTAATAAAATGTAAAACACCGCCGACATGATTAATTGAAATCTAAATTTAATCAGAGCAAAAGTTAGGATCTCTATTATAATAAAAGGTCATGAGTAGACCAACTCTCTCCATCCCTTATTCCCCACGTGACCAACTCAGCAAATGATTTAGGGCCCCCAATGGGATTGACAAAATATGTGGTATACGAATTGACTGCTGAGGTGAGGTGGAACCCAATCAGACATGAGCATAGGTTTCGAGCCCTCATGTGAGGGACCTCTTACTAATCAAAATCCATAAAACACAAACAAATCGACTCCGTTCAAAGTAAAGTTTGTTAGATATTTTCTTCTGTGGTGGAAGTTTGTTATGAATTTGGAGTAGAGACCCGAAACTTGATATTTGTGTGGTGAGAAAGAAAATCTTGATATTTGATATCTTTGAAAGAGAAATAAGTAACAAAAGTACATACCGACCACAGCATCAGTTCTGGCTAATAGGTAAAGACTTTCTTTTCATGTAATATTTTCAGCCCAAATCGTTCCTAATTTGTACAGCTACGAAGGAAAGTAAGAAATAGACAAATTTCAACTTATTTGATGGCCTAACCCTGTACCGAAAACTGACCCATTGAACATTAAGTAGGGGAAAGAACAAGAAAAAGATTAATAATAGATAAAAATCAAAAGTACTTTTTAAAAATTAATGACACGGTTTTTCAAATTGACAAACTCGGTGATAATTAGAGAGTATGACATTAGGGAAAACTAGATTACCAAAAAATAATGAAAAATGACAAAATTGTCTTAAAATAAAGCTTTGTTTGGCATGTCTTTTCGTGCGGGTCATCAGTTTTTTAGAAATCCAATAGCTAGTGTTTTCGTCTCTCATTTGGTTGGGGGAAGATCTTTCTACCGAAAGACCATGCCCCAAATAAAAAGACACAAGAAGCTAGATTCAAACTTATTTTGGAAAGTTAGAAATGGAACTTCTCGCCTTTTTTCACATACTCAAGTCTCATCTTCATATGGAAAGATGTATTTCCAACTAAATGGTTTATGAGCCACCAAGATCTTTATGTAAATGTTCACACTATCTTTTGACCATCAAATCTTCAGAAAGATCTTTTAAAAAAGACTTGTTAAATGGCACCAAAGTTATTAAACATTCTCTTTGCTACAAAATTACAAATTTCTGCCCTGGACCCAACCCACTCCTTACAATGTAAACCACCCGGTCCAGCTCTTAACCCAAAACAGTACCAACCATGAAATGTTACAGCCTACATGAGCACATCACATCAATGTAACCAATTCATTTCATGCACAACCAATATAATTATTCTCACCATTTTAGACATGGTTGTAGCAGCTTACCATGCTTATCTATAAATATCCATCATATGAGAATAAAGGATATCATGATTTCATTACCAAAGAAGAACTAGCACTAGGAGTGCTCACGGGGTATTTTTTTGAACAAAACCGGTAGTACCGATTTTTGGAAAATCGGAACCGAACTGAAACCAATCACTTTTTTTGGTGTTTTTAGTTTTTATAATATATATAATATTATATTTTAAATAATAAATAATATACAATATATTATAAATATATATATTTATATAATGCATATTTATTAATTTATAATATATAAAAAATACATAATAGAAATATATGTATACCGGTCGGTTTGATTAACTGTTGGTTTTTTATATTGGTTAGCCG